TCTCTCTCTCCTCTCTCTCCTCTCTCTCCTCTCTCTCTCACTCTCTCTTTCTCTATCTATCTATCTATCTATCTCTCTCTGCATTTCTCGATACACTCTAGTTACAATTGGTAAAACTTATGGGCTTGTACAATGCCAGCATTTTATCGTTATCGCTGAAGGATGTCTGGTTATGAATATTCAAACGAAATTATCAATAACACGTCGCGCGGACAAATTCTTTCATCGAGTAAAACTGCACGAACATTTTATACGTATTGAAATGCACTTGAAATATTCCGTTAATATAAAATTAATCACTGTGAAAATGTATAATTTCCAAGATTCTTTATTTTTAATTTTACGTCGGCGTATATAGTGCGTACTTTTACAATGTATGACTAATTAATTTGCAATTTTCAGGACAACCAGTGCATGAGGATCAAAATCTTGGGCGATTGTTACTACTGCGTCTCCGGGCTTCCAGTGTCCCGTCCGAATCACGCCTACAACTGCGTAAACATGGGGCTACAAATGATCGACGCCATCAGGTAAAGAGAAAAACAGCGAAATCGCGACACGCCAGGCTACCGCGTCAGCGACGACAGCTTGTTAATTACGTGCGCTTTTCTCTGTAAATTTTTTCAACTTCTCACCCGCCATGACAAAGCATGAAAAACTGTAAAAATAATTGCTGCGTTAGTTTTACACGCGGAAATGCGAAATGAATTGCGAAAAAAGGAATCTTTCTTTCACGAGGTCACGTTTGCAGGATTACAATATTACACCGATAATATATCTCGTTGTGTATTTCCAATATCGTATTTCCCTCGTTAGCTGCATATATAATAATGTGAATAACTTAGATAATAACTTCAGTATCATCATGATTGTCTATTAAATAACATCTCACTAATAATTATGATAGTTTGGCTGAAACAATTCAGGAGAAAAAATTGTGGCTGAAAAGTTGGAGGTAAATCTTTTAGGATCTTGAAGGATCTTTTAGGATCTTTAAGGATTTTACTCAAAAAATAAGGATGAAACATCTGAAAATAAGGATGAGTATCTGTAATTTATACGATTGCATGTCTATCGCTGTTTATGGGAATCATCTCTAACAGTTTGTTAACTAGATGCACACACATACATCCTTTGTTAATTCCCGCTCATTATTGCTGCTTTATTAATTACAGTCTCGCGGGCGCTTTGTCGATGACGTCATTCGCACATCGAAACACGATTATTTCGCTTGCCTAACTCTAATTACACTATTGATACCTTGCAGTTTAATTACAAATACATTATCATGGACCGATGATTATCGAAAGACCAATCGTTATTCTTAGTGATCTAAATAACTTCGGAATATCAAACTCTTATTACCTTAAAAATTCAGTCATCGTCTCAGTAACAGAGTTTCAGAGCACAACATACTTTCTGTAACTTATGATGAATCAAAAATATTATTTTCATTATTAGAAGGTACAATATCGTCGAAATCATCATTTTGAAAAATATTTCTTTTTACTAGAAAATTTTGTTTCCTTCAATTTTGTTGTTAACGATTCTCTTTTATCTAATCACCAGTATAATTAACCGTCCTAGCAACTAGTAACAAACCGCTATTTCGCAATTTACGCATCTCATCTGATCTTCCGCAGTTAATAACAAATATTTGTGTTCTCCCCGTTACACATTTTGCTTTACATATAGCCATGTAATTCCTATAATATACTTACACTGTGTTGTCGCAGCTTTCCGCAAGAACAAAGCTGCAAACATGAAATACAGGCTCTCCGGTAACAACCGAGTATCTCGTATGGACCAAGGAGACTCCACACGGGAATTGACTAAACCGCGGTTTATCTTAACTAATATCTGCGGATAGAATTTCTCCATGGATAAGTAAACGGTGCTCGTAGCGATGTGGTCTCGGATGCAGCTGGCGAGGGATCCACGAACGGGAATACGAAGCGCGATGTGACAAACTCCACGCGCTCGGCCAACGAAAAGATCGCGAGGGAGATATTCCGCGCTTACGTATGCTTGCACGTATGCTTGCAGGTTTGTTCGCGAGGCCACCGGCTTCAACGTCGACATGAGGATAGGAATTCACACGGGTAACGTGCTGTGCGGCGTCCTCGGTTTACGGAAATGGCAATTCGACGTGTGGAGCGACGACGTGACCCTGGCCAATCACATGGAGAGCGGCGGTCTACCCGGGTAAGACGGTTTTCTTGCTTCGCCGTGATCTGTATTGGTGCATGCCACACCGATACGGCTTGATACACTTGACGTTAACACCTGCAATACTTTCCCCGTCCGATTTCGAAAATAGAACAGGAGACTCCTGGAAAATGTGAGATTACGAAAAACGTGGAATGTTATGGTGTTTTCTCGTATCTGTTCGCATGATAGATTTGCATAAAACTATGTCGAAAAATATTTCTAGTCATAATTGGAGACGGACATCCAGCCTGAGTTAGTTTAACTGCTATTTTGATATCGGACACAGTTATGCGTGATTTTGTTCTATTTTACATAGAGAGACCGTTTATTTTATCAACGTTTTCTCTTAATATTATTATGCTTTAAATATTATTATTATGAATTATTGAACAATTATAATTGAATATAATTATAATTAAATATAATTATTGAACATATAACTTGAGACTATGTAACAACGATTTTATATTCTATTTTACTAAACGATTTGTTGTTGAATCAGCGATGTAAACGTTCCTACGTGTTTATTTTATTTATGAGAGAGATTCCCTCACGAATCAATATTAGTACCATTATCATTAGTATTTGCATTTTATATTTATATTAATATTTGCATTAGTACTTATGACGATATTATTGTATCAGTAACTTTCATCATTTTCAAGGAGGGTTCATATAACGAAGGCCACTCTGCTGCAACTGAGCGATCGGTTTGAGGTCGAGCCGGGCGAGGGAGGATCTCGAGAAAGTTATCTCGCTCAGCACAGAGTGGAGACCTTTCTTATAATACCACCCAAGGTACGTGAGAATCTGTCATTACCAAGAGTAATGTCGCGTTTATGTCTCGATCCTTTCTCACGATTTCGTAGTTCGTAAGCAAGACACGTTGCTCAACCGTTGCCCTTTAATTTCCACGAGTAACAAAACCAGACAGACATCGCCGGAGGAAAAATGTAGACAACCGCGATCTATTTTCATTTATTCGCTGCAACTGTACGTACTTTATCCTTGTCCACGCGAAATAATTAATGATATCACGAAGAAACCGAATGGCCCGGAGATCTATAGTAGCACGATAACGCAATAATTCAAATCGAAAGATAAAGAGCGTTTCAGTTGTAACGAATAAGTATTGCTATTGATCTGATATGCGCGCGATGCAATATTTCCTTCAGCGATCACGCGGATCGAATGAATTCGCGGCAAAACGCGAGAATAACTCAAGAATAATTCTGAGAAAAATTATTACAATTTCATACAAGCTGCTACTTTCTCTACAATTCCCCTGAATCTTGCCGAGATAACATTGCAGCTTGAAAGTTTCACCGAACGCGCGTTGCAGCTTGAGATCCGCGAGAATACGCCTTGTGGAACAAGTTCGCTGCGGTGTTCTTCGCGAGAGGAACGGGAGATTCGCGATTAAAGAATAACGACGAATAATCTGCCGTCAAGTGATAGTAAAGTTCGCCCGTGAGGCGAGAAATCCATGCAAATTGGCCGCGTCTCATTTCTATACGAAGGAACTTCGGATCGTAATGCTTCGTTTATCGCGGCGGTAAAGATTCCGGCGGAAACTCGTTAAAAACTTGTTGAAAAGCCAGCCGAGTCGCGCTTTCCCCGCCGTCGCGCGAATATGCTCCCCCAGTCGGAGACATTCGATTCTTCCGAGCAGACGACAATTTTTCGCGCGACTTGAGTTTTGCGTAAATCGCGAATGCCTCGGGAAAAAAATGCTTTCCCGCGCTCACCGTGTAATCCTCTGGAAGAGAAACACCTGAAAGTTCATCATGAAAACGCGTGCTTACGTGCGTTTATGTTATTTCACGCGCAAAAACATGCGTTTAATAACGTCGACGGCGATTAATTCCCGTCGCTTGAAATTCCCTCATGGTATCTTACGGTAAGACAAAGCTCGCTGCTTTTTACGTCTTATTAAAGAGGTACTTCACGCGAACGAAGATACGTGTTCCCGATAACGAAAACTCGCATACTTGTTTTAAGATGATCAGAGCGACATTACTTTTTTCTCGAACAAGTAATCTCGCGATTTACCCACGCCTTAATATGCGAACAGTGCGTCGCGTTATATTTTATATTCCACCGTAAAGAAAATTGCCGTGTTATCCGCTGATGATCCTTCTTTTTCGTAGAAAAGCAGAGAGGAAAATGAAATGGAGAACGGCGGGAATCGTATACACGGACCTGGACCGGTACCCTCCAGGTATGTTCCATTATATAATCCTTTTTAATCTCCGAGGGGAATACGATGCACGCAAAAGTGATAACATCGGACGAAATCACAGCAAAAGCTAAAAGCCACGCTGTAATTAACAGAACAGAAGAAATATTTTGGTTTCAATACATTTCACGTGATAAATATATTTTTGATATATTCCGCTCATCTTCCTCTTACGTTGGCGCTAATAATTAAATCAGATTGTTAATTTGAATTTTGCATTTGTATTATTGGTTTTGCACCGTTATAATCGTGTTTCGCGAATTATTAGCGAATACATTATAAATCGCGATATTAATTATGAAATTACGGCGAAGGGATGGTTAAAGATATCACGTATTTTCCGCGATAGATCGAGGCCCAGCAGCAAAATGACCAAGTATGTGGAATGTTGGGGCGCGGACAAGCCTTTCGCCAATATCGCGGAAGCGACGTTGGCGAAGAATATCGGCCTGACGGTAAGCCAGCATTTATTTCCTTTGCTTTTGAATTTTTAGCGCAGCGATTAAAACGCCAATCCTTCTTTTCGACAGAGCATCGCGATGATCGAGTCGAATCTACTGGCGAACAATGCCAGCTGCTTCGACATGCAGTGAGTTATACATATTATTAATTAATGTCAATACCATCGGCGGGCACAAAGATCGGCGATTTGATAACGTATTCGATAAATGCGACGCGCGTGTTTCAATGCCTCAATTTTAATATCGTAAGCACGACGCTGGCTGGACATTATCAGTTAAAACAGCGATTCAATGAAAATTATTTCTTTGCATTATTCCTTCTCCACTTGTCTCTTTATGCACCGCACGCGTGTATTGTAATTATTAAAATTAATTAAATACGCCCAGATATATACGCGCTTCGTGTAATAACAAATGTAATCTCATGACGGCGAATTAAAATCGCATGATTATATTAATGACAGAAGATGAAATGTGTGGATTTTGCAGTACAGAGACAGTTTTCGATTTTTATGCACGATGTAGGCATTGGTGCGGCGGCAATGAAGGGATATCGCCTTTTACTTATTGGTTCAAGGACAAAAATCAAGAGCAACAGTATCGAGAGCAGAGGGATGAGCAGTATTCTTGGTACGTCGTCGCCTCCAACGTCGTTTACACGATGATGTTCTGCATTCAGATTATTTATCTACCAAGGTGAGTTTCCGTAACAAGCTCATTAAATGCTCGATAGTTGGCTCATCTCCAACGAACCGCAACGGGTTACAGTGTTTAATAGCGGAACTTGTAAAGTAATTACATAACATTGGCAAATTTCCGTCAAATATATTTACACTCTGTTAGTTGTACGATATAGTTATCTGATAAATTCTATTTCTTTTTGTTAACAAATGCATGATTATTATCATTAAAATTAATTACATTCGATTAGAATTACTAATTAATATTTTGTATTTCTCTCTGGCGTGTTGAAAAATTTATTATTCTTCCATTTGCAGAAGCGTCGTGGTTTACGGTTGCTTCGCAACTGGTCAAGCATCGCTGATCATATTTGCCGCAATCTCGTGGTTCAATGGAAAAAACGAAAGCAACAGTGCCGAAGAAACGACAAATCAGATCGCACTCAGTCGTGGTATCAGGATAATGGTCTACTTGATAACCGCTCTTCTGGCCGTCGCATCATCGGTCATTAGTCTGAACGACGTTGATCAGATTAATCAGACTGTCGACATCGCACCAGTGCGTATGTTCAAAAAAATTTTACTTAATAAAACATGGGATTGAAATTATATTGCTCTTGACAAATAACTCGTGTATAATGAGATTTCTATCATATTCGAGGTTCAAATATTATTATTAAATTTAAAAAAAATATGATAAATTATGAAATAATATAAAATAATATGAAAAATTAGTTATTTTGATGCGTACGCCTGATATTAAAGTTGCATTTTTGCCGATAATAAATTAAAAGATCAATAGAATACTTCAACGTTTTAGAGGCAAATTCCGAAAATTTATTCCTTAATCCAGTATTGTAGATTTTGGAAAAGCACATGTCACGTTAAAATAAATGTTAACAAATATATTTCCAGCTGTACGTATACTCGACAGTGATAGCACTAGTGGTCGGTTGGACACATTTGAGGGTCGGTTTCTTACTTAAGCTGAGCGTAATGTTCCTATCCGTAGTCGTAATACTCGTGGTCTTTTCCCAAGTACCGGTCATTCAACTTTATTACGACAATCCTGGCGCCAAGTGAGTGAAACGATCTCGAAGCTCTAACAACACGTTATGAATCGCAAGCTCGTCACGAAGCTCCACGAACGCTTTCTCACGTTTCCACAGGTTTTATGAAGTCCATTATCTTATGCAAGTGGGATACTTGCTGGCGCTCGTTAGCGTAATACTCCATATTTTGGACAGACAAGTGGAATATACGTCTAGGACAGATATTCTGTGGAAGAGCAAACTAATGGTCGAACAAGACGAGGTGGAGACCATGAGAGGCATTAATAAGATTCTTTTGGAGAACATACTTCCAGCTCATGTAGCGGATCACTTTTTAGCTACGAGAGATACGCAAGTGAGTTTTAGAAATCTTTACTCTCGAGATTTTTATCTGCACCGTGATATTCGTGGTATTATCGCATTGTGATAATTTATTGTTTAGTATCGAATAATGCATGATATTTTTGACTGAAGATCATTGTCTTTTGGCAGGAACTCTATCACGAGAGATATAGCAGCATCGCCGTAATGTTTGCATCGATTCCTAACTACAAAGAGTTCTACGACGAGACCGACATAAACAAGCAAGGGCTCGAGTGTCTACGCCTGCTCAATGAGATCATTTGTGACTTTGACAAACTCTTACTCAAGCCGAAGTTCTCCGGCATCGAGAAGATTAAGACGATAGGCAGTACTTACATGCTGGCGTCTGGCCTAAGCCCAGGAAAGGAGGATGGTGACGGCAAGGTGAGATCGTAAAATAAAGTATCACCTCAAAATCTCGGGGTTTATCTAGGGTTTTATGAAGTTTGGTGAACTCATAAAGAAAGTAATAATTGATAAATTTATTTTACGATTGCAGTTTCAATATAAAGAGAGCTTTTTAATTAAAACAATTTTTAGCAAAAAAAATCGAAGCATTTGTTGTTTATTTCGATAAGCGACTTAAATCACGCTGTTATGTAGGATCCACTGAAGCAGCAAGACCATAATGTGATTGTACTCGTCGAATTTGCCATCGCACTTATGACGATTCTGGATCAGATCAACAGGGATTCCTTTCAGAGATTCAAATTAAGAATGGGTAAGAAATAAGTAGATAGCTGAACATAGCATGCAAACATTTAATGTGTATTTTGTGATGCTATTGTAATAACATAATATATTTAAAATATATTGTTTTAAGAAATATTTCATTGAGCCATATTTTTGCCAAAACGTTTACTTCTAATTGCTACAATAATTTCGAATTAATTGCGTTCTCTTGCTGGTAAATAAACAGCAATTTTCCTGGCAGTAAATACCTTCTTTTATATACTGACAACATTCTTGTTGTATGAAGACGCATTTTACCGTGCATTTTATTTGTGCTAAAATTTTTTATCCTCAAGTCAATTTTAATATTCAAACAATATACCAAAATATTTTTATCTAGAATTATCATTTATTAATTTCCTTCTGTGGATTCTGCGACACGAATATTTATAACAAATGATTAAATCTTTTTATCGTAGGTTTAAATCATGGTCCGGTAATAGCCGGTGTCGTGGGTGCTCAAAAACCGCAGTATGATATTTGGGGAAATACCGTGAATGTGGCTTCAAGAATGGACAGTTGCGGTGAAATGGGCAAGCTTCAAGTCACCGAGGACACAGCCAAGATCCTCATCGACGCCGGATACGAGCTCGTATGCCGAGGACCGACATACGTTAAGGGCAAGGGAACACTCACTACGTATTTCGTGAAAACACCATTCGACGATAAGGAGGACAACTATTAACAATCGCCCACAAACCGCTAAGACGGTATATGATAAAACTGTATTATGTGGTAGCAAGCAATCTTTTCTCCGAGAAGTGAAGAGAATATCGCTTAATATATCTGAACGTGTGAAACGGATATGTTGTCAAGACTAGGCAATTCCAGAAATTTTAATGACTTATCTATTAATGTAAGATATTATTGGATGTGAAGTTTACTCATTTACTTTGCAAAATAAGATTTTATCTTCCTGATAAAGAAAGTAAATTCTCGGATGTGAGAAGAGCGACATTTTTCGAAAAATTTATTATAATATTCGTGACAGTTGTGATGTGTATAGTTGAAATGTTGACTTTGTCTTTGCCATTTATATGTTAAAGTATAATCTACGCACAAACGATGCGGATGTTCGGGATTATTACTCCCGATGTTTTCTTTCTGCACTCAATCCAATGTTGACGGAAAATGGGAACGAGAAAGTATGTAGTAGCGATTATTGTGTTCTTAAAATAATTTTATGAATTTTAAAGATAAGACGAACGCTGATCTCACGCGCATATATCTAAAGAAAGATACTTCGGAATCTTTACTGCTGCGAACAAATCATTTCAAGCGTCGACTTCTTCCAATTTTCGATTTGTAACTAGCGATTGTGAGCATCGTTACACCGTACCTGCAATTAGATTAACAGTAGCTGTGTATGTGTATATATATATATATATATACATACACACACATACATACATACATACATACATACCTGTATATGTATGATCAATTCGTTTTGAGAGCTGTGACATGCTGCTTTTGGGGAAAGTTCGATCTCCATCGAGAAGCAACGAGATCTTAATCAAATACCCCAAATACATACGATCGATGTACAATATTGCTTTACACAGCCGACATTGATTGCCTTCATCCACGATGCAAAGGTATTGTGAACGTGACTATGTGAATAAAGCGATGGTGAAGTTCACATTAATTATAATATTATTCTCATCTCTACAATGAGATACAGTTGTTTCATAAAACGAATCAGCATTTATGATGTTCTTTTTAATTAAAATTATCCAAAGAGAAGTGAACATCTTATAAGATCAACATTTTGTCAAATAACCGCAGTTTGATCCAGAGAACTTGAATTTCTCCAAAGATTTTAATTTGCACAATAACTTATAGATATTTACAAATATTACTCATGTGGCCATAATAACATGAAAAGCATCAAGTCAACGTCACTTCAATCTCTATGGTAAGGACTACACGAAAAAGATAAAACGACGATTGAAACAGCGGTATTTATTATAACATCAAATGTATAAAAACAATAAGTTTCTGTACACGTGAAATAAGTGCGAGTCTTCGTAACAACATAGTCTAAGGTAAAATTTATGCGTAACACGAGCCTTGGTTTTGCAGACACCATTCAGGTTCCAGACTGTCCGTGTCAATTCCTTGTTCCACAAGCCTCTCACGGTGCGTTAGCATCCTGTGTTCGGCGTGGTACCACTTGGAAGTCGGTTCACTCCATAATCTTTCAGCCATCGCAGCCGACCTCGGCCACAATCTCGAATCAACAGATGCACTGTCCGCTTGCTCGGTCCACAGTGCGGCCTCTCCACCTGTAAAAATAATACATGACGATCGCATCACAATCACCAGGAAATGATTTACCTTCACTCTATCCAGACCGAGGATAACAAAAATAATTGACGCTTTACATAGAAAATCTTACCCAGAATAAGATCCTTTTTGTGTTCATATCCCTGTTTCTTCACTATTTCTAAAGGTGAGTTATCATAAATCTTCTGCCATCCTTTGTATGGCGTGCACCAATTGTTACCTTCACCCACCCAAGCTGCGAATCTACGAGTAAAAAAAAACAATTAGTTCTTGACCTGGAAAGAATCTAATTCGTATTAGCAAAATACATTTACGTGAATTGAGTTTATTGTTTGTTTGACATTGATTTCTCAAAAATACTAGGAACTTACTACATATTAGATAGATATTGTTTTAATATAAACTATATTTATTTTAATCTGTGGCTCAAACTAAAAGAATTTTAAGTTTCTTCTAGATATGTCCACCATAAAAAGTGAAAGTATTTGAAAATAAGATTAGAAGTTTCTAAAATTAATCTATTAATTTTTCTTACCCGCAGTCAAGATACAAAGCATCATAGTTTGACATAATAATCTTGAAGTCATTCTGCACCAGTCTACCAATAGTCTCATCTTCACCAGTGGTCCATATCTGAATTATGTACTTCTTGGGGTCCAGGTGCTGAAGATTCTCCTCGTTGGTGAGGCCACTGGTCCAGAGGATAACTGGGACGTCTTTACCACCGTTGGCGATTTTAAGTTTCTCCATAGCCTTCTCCTGGAAGTATTCCCACAGTACATAAAAGCTGCTCTCACTGAGGTCCCATCCCTTCTTCAACATCCAGTCAGTGATGATTTTCGTAGATCTCCAACAATTGATGTTCACTTCGTCGCCGCCCATGTGGAAAATATCAGGATATTCAAAGTCCTCCATCATGTCCTTGTAGATGCCTTCTAGAACCTCGTACATTCTGTCGCTAGTAGGATTCAACTGGCCGCATGGTGGTTCCACGCAATAATTCATCCAGGGTTCGGCTTTGAAGCATACCGTCGCATTATCGCCAACCTGTTTATTAACACGTAACGTCACACATCGATATTAGAAGATACCACAAGAAAGTCTTTGAAGAAAAATTTCTTTATATATCGGTATCCTGATTCTCTCTCAATTTAAATTATATTCTATAAATGATTTTATTACTCAATATTTTCTCAGATATTATTTCCAATTGTAGTTTTTTTTATTTTAAGCCATATTAATATATATATATATATATATATATATATATATATATATATATATATATATATATATATA